AAGAGTGCTCTGCAAAGAAGCGCAAGTGTGCTCTGCAAAGAAGCGCAAGTGTGCTCTGCAAAGAAGGGTGCTCTGCAAAGAAGTGTGCTCTGCAAAGATGCTGAAGTCTGCTCTGCAAAGAAGAGGAAGTCTGCTCTGCAAAGAAGTGTGCTCTGCAAAGAAAATGCTCTGCGAAGAAGAGGAAGTGTGCTCTGCCAAGAAGTCTGCTTTGGCAACAAAGAGAGAGCTTGGCCTTGTCACTGTTGATCCATTGTTGACTCAAGATGATTCAAAATTGATTCAATATTGGTTCAACAATGAAGCCTCCGCCCTGCCGCGCCATCTCCCACCAAGGTCGGAATTCCGACTTCGCTACTTTGTCCAAAAAAACCACTGCCGGGCCAGCTGGTTCTCGCCATCTCGCTTCCAGAGCGGTTTTCACCATTCACTCGCCTTGTCGTCAATCCTGCGCTGGCAACAGGATTGCCCTCGTCAATCCTGCGCTGGCAACAGGATTGCCACGTCTCCCAGAAAACTCTGGGTGCGACGCGCTACTGCCGGCATCTCTCCCGGACTCGCCGCCCGGCTTCCCGGCTTCGAATTTGGGAAGTAACGCAAAGGGACGAATGGGGAAGATCAAGCTTTTTCCCACGACCGAGTACACCAGCAAGCAAGCCTCGGACCCCGTGGTGCCCTTGGTGCCGTGCACCGGCATCTTCCTCGGGCCGTCGAAATCGGGCAAGACCGTGGCGCTGATCAGCCTGATTCTGGAGCAGTATCGAGGCGTCTTCGAAAGGATCTACGTCTTCAGCCCGAGCGTTAACATTGACGACGGCTGGATCCCCGTCAAGAAGTACATCGAGGAGGACCTGGGGGTGAACACGGAGCGCGAACAGGCCTACTGGGACGAGTGGGACGAGCCGGCGCTGCGCCGCATCATCCAGCAGCAGCGCAAGATCACGGAGGCGTCCAAGAAGTTGGAAATGAAGAAACTATACCAGGTGCTTGTAGTCATCGACGACTTTGCTGACACGCCGCAGCTGCACAAGCCTCACGGCGCCCTTGACACGCTCTTCATCCGAGGCCGGCGCATGCAGATCAGCGCCTGGGTGAGCCCCCAGAAGCTGAGGCTCATCAGCGCCGCCGTGCGGGTGACCATGCAATTCCTCTGCTGCTCGAGGCTGCGCAACCAGCACGAGCTGGACGCCGTCATCGAGGAGCTGAGCGCACTGCTGCCGAAGGAGCAGCTGTGCCGGCTGTACGAGCAGGCGTTACAGCTTCCTTTTTGTGTACTACCTGAAGCCGAAGAACGAAAGGTTCTACAAGCGCTTCGAAGAGCGTTTCGCGCTTGAAAAAGACGCTGATGGGAGCGGCGCTCAGCTTCCTGGGCCAGAAGCTGTTCGCCAGCTCCACGCTGATCAACGCGAGGTGTGAGAGCATCTCCTGCTGCACTTCCGTCGCAGCCGTCCAGTCGCCCGTCGTTCGCTTTTGGGTTCTGGGTTCTTTGTGGGTTTTCTTTTCCCTTGTGTTTATAGGTCGGAGTGAGTCTTCTACGCCGCCGCCATTTGGTGCTCCTAGCCCCAAACTCACGTTTAGGACTTGTTTCGTTTGAAACCCACCCACCCTCCCCGGGAGCTCTCCGGACATGAACTGGAAGCGCACCTCAGCTTCATACCAGGGCCCAGACCCGCGGTTTGGCCCTGTTGGCGTCTCTGGACCCGCAGGTCCATTGATGCAGGCGTGGGCACGCTTGCCACGCCCCCCGTTTGGCATTTTAATGCAAGGACACGCTTGTCTTGCAACCTTGTTTTCCGCAAGGGGGGGAACATGCCTCTTGTCCTAGGTGCACCGCAGTGCCCTAGGAAAGTGCCACCTTTCCAAGCAACCCGGTAAAAAGGTGTGCGCCTTGCTGTCGGCTTTTGTGTTCTGGGTTCTTTGTGGTTTGAGGCTAGGAGCAGTGCGCGGGACCTTTAACTTTATGGTATCGGCTTGTTCCCCGGCATTGTATGCAAGCGACATGGGGGAAAAAATGACGTGGGCAGTGCGCACTAAACTGTGTGCAGGTTGCATTTAGAGGGAGTTCATGCAGGCAGTTGCATACACGTAGAACTTGCAGTTTGGCAGACTTCGTGCCAAGAGGCCGTTTGTGCAAGATCAAAACAATTTTTTCGTTTTGAACACTCTGGCAACTGCCAGGTTGTATTGCTTTCAGAAAGCAGCAGCAAAGCAAATAACGAATTGCTCAGGAACCTGTTCTGCGTGCGACATTGGCAAAGTTTCAGTGGTGTTGGTTTCATAAACAGTTTGAGCCTCAAGCGTCAAATACGCACAACGAATGATTGAACATCTTTGAAGCTCATTCGGCATGGACTCGGAACGCCAAGTCAGCACAAAAACAGGTGAATTAGTGCTTTTTGCCCGCAAGCCAATTCAGTAGGGCGAGGGACGTTGTTCTTGAAGCTATGGAAGGCGTTTCAGAAGCGACTCCTTTGCGGAAGGTTTGTGGGAACTGGTTAAACATTAGTTGCTGTGGCAAAACAGGGAGAAACGATTGCAGAAGAGGCTAGAAATGTGTTGCTGTGTGCAGGAAACGCAACGTTTTCGAAAGAACAGTTGCCAACAGCAAAAACCAAAAGGACCAAAACAGCCGGCGGATTTTGCGGAACGTTTGTGGAAGGTTCGCAGAAACTCTTCAGAAGGGTGGCTCCGTGTTTGCAGGCACCCAGCACGCGTGGCCCAGTGCAGCCCAAACCTGCACAGGCTGCACCAACACAGGCGGAACATTTCTTGCTTGCTTAAGCAGACTTTATTTTCTGCGCCAACACTTGTGGAAACAAACATTGTGAAACATGCGCTGCGGGAGGTTTGCGGAAGCGAACGATGAAAAACAAAACATGTGCCGCGAAGTCCGCGGAAGGGCTTCTTGGCCCGCGGCAAGGATGCGGAAGAGTCCGCGGAAAAGCTTGAATAAATCAAGTTGATTGGGAGCAATTGAACACCAACACTCAAGTGGCGGAACATGCACGCAGCAGTTGGATCCCCATTCCAGCAAAATTTAACCAACAAAATGCAGCTGTTTTCACTCAACTTTGCAAGCTTTTGCTTGAACGGACTCGGTGTGAAGCGCATTTCAAATCAGCAGCATTTTGTTAAACGTGGCGACCGCATGGCTTTTGTTGTGGCCAACAACGGATCCGTCTACAAATTGAACAACTGACGTTTTTGGACGCAGATTGCCAATCTCGATTTCAGATGCGAGACGCCATTTCGCAACCCCGCACATGGCCGTGCTGTTCCGCAAACGGTGGTTCGTTGATTTGTCATGTTCAATATTTGATGTGATGATTGGTTTGGCACACATTCGGCTGAATTAGAACGTTTCTGTGGAAGAACAAGTACATAAAGTTGAGCTTGAACTCAACTTTGACGAAGGGGAATCGGCGAGCTTGCAACTTGTGTGTGTCCAGGATGCTAACAAAACACATATTGCCCTAGTGTCGGATTGAGTCTTGAACCCCTATCATGGGTTTTGTATGCAAATTCAATCGTTTGGACAATATTTGTGTGCGGAAGAGCACAGGCTGGCACTTTGTGTTTTGTGTGAAATGAGGCATCTGGTTTCCGTTGCGCACACCTCGTGGGCATGGTGCTGCAGTTTGGCTGAAAGGTTCTGGACAAGTGAGTCTTTTTGCGGCTGCAGAAAATAGGCCCCCGCAAAATGCTCCGCACCCTGGCAGCAACTTGGATGGGCGCTGCAGCACAGCAGGTTGGCACCAAAATTGGGGAGGATACTTACGGTTTTCGGACCCTTGATTGATTCATCTCGGTGGTGTTCTCAGCTAGTAAAGGGTTTCACTTATTTAACCCACGTATGTTTAGCAGGGGATATGAGGACAGCCAAGGCCTGTGAATTGGCTGTGCCTCAAAATTACACAGGAGGGGCAAACCGCAGGTTTTGGTCCATGTTTCCACTTACCAGGGCAACCCATTTTGGAATCCGGTTTTTTGAGCCACAGCCAATTCAAGATACGAAATGTGTTTTTCGGACTTTTGCAGTGTCATGCGTTGGCCTTTGATGAGCCACAACGAGCGTAGGTGGGGACACACGTCGAGGAGTTCCACCCGGAGATGGCGCTGTACACCTGCGACAGCGCCGGTTGCTCAAAGGAGGTGAAGTCTGTGGTTTTGGACTCCAACTGGCGATGGATCCACAATGGCCAGTACACCAACTGCTACAAGGAGTGGGAATTTCAAAGACCGCTGACGCAAGCTCCACTGGGTTCAGCAACCACTGTAAGCTTGTGCCCTAAACCACGAATGACTAAGCTTGTGCCCCCACAAATGACGAGGGTTTCATCATGGCCTATCGCTCCGTGTTTGCATCAAAGGTTTCAAGGCAAAGGCCACGTAGATCACATGCCAGCGCTCTCAGGATGGTGACTGGGATGCCACCTTGTGCCCGGACCCCGTGACCTGTGCGGCAAATTGCCACATGGAGGGTAATTCGGAGGAGCACTACAAGAAGACATACGGAATCAACACCATTGATGACGGTCTGAGGCAGGGGGCTTTCTTTGGGCGCGAGCGCCTTAGGCGAAGCTTACAAGCAAGGGCAAGAGGCGGCAAAAAACAAGGCCTCCACATTCTTGTTCTATTTGGTCGAGTTCCGTGCCTTCACAATCAGAACGCTTGAAAAGTCAAATACTCGCAGCCACGCAGCCAAACAAGGAAAAGGCACAGCTTTGAACCTCTATTCGCGTTCGGCCGACATTTGTCGCCGCTTTCTGCTTCCTATCATTGTGCAGTGGAGTTGTATTTTGGAAGCAGCGGCAGCGCGTTGGCTGAGTAGGGCTTCCGCTAGGTCTGGCACTCAGACACTCAGTCCGGTGGACTCTTGTGCTTTGATTGATACACCAATGGTTTAGTTTCTTTGCTCCAAGTGTGTAGGACGGATATCGGCTGAAGCAATTTCCACCAATTCAAGTTGAAAGCCTCCGCTTACACAAGTTTATCAACGCAACTTGCATTTAATTCAGAAGCAAGCTTAGATAGAGGATGCTCCAGATTTCAATTACATTCAAATTACTTTGGAATTAGATGCAAAATATCAGTTGGTTGTCGCTGCAATGCAAGATGACTCCACATCATTGATACTATCAAACTAGATGTCATCAAACGCTCCGGACTGCAAGGCAAGCCTCAAAAGTTATTCCCTCTTGATTTGTCAAGAGACAGCTTCAGAAAGACATATTAAGCAAACTGCGTAGACCTTCCCCCCGGTGGTTTTAAGACCCAAAGCACCGAGTGCTCGATGGTCCTTCGCCCTTTAGGGGTCCGTCCTAAGTCAGCGGCCTCGACGAACTTCTGAGGAAGTTGACGTGCCAAGGGGAATCAGGTTCATCCCTAAATGACCATAGCTGTTGCCTCATCAAAGTCCGGTTGGTCATTATTATTATTATTGACCAGTCCATTGTGGTTTGTTGACATCCAGTTTGATTGTTGTGTGAGCTTACAACGCCCCCAATTGCTCAAGATTGAGTCGCGCAAAGTATTTCTGGATTACCCTCTGAGTTTTAAAATCTGAAATTCATGTGGAAGTTTAGAAATGTTTAGAAATGTACAGTTCTGCTGGAGTGTCCTGTCTGAGTCTGCATAAGTGCTGATAGTGCGGTCAAGTGTATACGTGTGTATGTGTTGCTCCATTTTGCGAAGACTTTGTTAAGACTTTCAAGTACCTTCAAGTTCACTTGGTATTTCTGTGACTGTGCGCTTCAGATCAACTAAAATAGCCCCTGGGGCCTCTACGTGTCCCGCACATTTCTATGCAGTATCCTATACCGGCTCTCTAGCTTGACTGTTGCCAGCGATTCACGGCCTGTGGTGGCATCCGTTTGTTCATTCAAGAAGCCCCCCCCCCGGGCCCCCGCCCCGCCCATTCCCCGGAGAGGCTGGACTTCGTGAGCACGACGAAGTATGGCTCCAACTTCGGGTCTCGGGTGTACATGTTGGACAGCCCCGACATGTACAAGGTCTTCAAGCTGCTGAATCGGGAGTTCACCCTGACGGTGGACATGAAATACATGCCCTGCGGCCTCAACGGCGCCGTCTACTTTGTGGAGATGGATGCCGATGGCGGCAAGAGCAACGCCGAGCTGAGCGGAGGCAACAACAAGGCCGGCGCCAAGTATGGCACGGGGTACTGCGATGCGCAGTGCCCGCACGACATGAAGTTCATGCAGGGCAAGGCAAATGTCATCTCCTGGAACGCCAGCCATACCCCTCCAATCGGCAAGTGGGGAGCCTGCTGCGCGGAGATGGACATCTGGGAGGCCAATAGCAAAGCCACGGCCTACACGCCCCACCCTTGCTCCTTCACCGGAGTCTATGTTTGCGAGGGCGTGGATTGCGGCGACAACGCGAAGGAGGAGCGCTATGATGGTGTTTGTGACAAGGATGGCTGTGACTTCAACTCTTGGCGGCTTGGAGCCAGGGAGTTCTATGGCCGGGGCAAGGACTACGATGTCAACACCCGGAAGAAGATTACCGTAGTCACCCAGTTCATCACTGAGGGTAACAGAGATGATGGGGACCTCATCGACATCCGGCGATTCTACGTGCAGGACGGCAAAGTCATCCCCAACTCCAACGTTTCCTTGGCCGGGGTCTCGGGGAATTCGGTCACCGACAAGGTCTGTGCAGCCACTCAGTTGTTCAAGGCCGACCTTTTGACCTTTTGGTTTTCCCTTTTTGGTATATCTTAAGTCATGACTCAAAAGGTTAACCTTTTAGTTCTGGCTCCTTTGGGCAAGTGAGGACATGAAGTCGGCCTTTGGGGACATCGACGACTTCACTCGGAAGGGTGGCTTGAAGGCCATGGGAGAGGCATTGGATCGGGGGATGGTCCTGGTGATGTCGCTGTGGGATGACGAGGAGGCGAACATGTTGTGGCTGGATTCGGACTATCCCTTGAACAAGGACCCCTCTATCCCCGGTGTTAGCCGTGGCCCCTGCGCCACAGACACAGGCAAGCCCGAGTACCTCCGCGAGAAGTACGCAGCGGCACGCGTGAAGTACAGCAAGATCAAGGTGGGAACTATTGGGTCCACTTTCAACGGCCAGGACGACGAGGATGATGACGACGACGGAATCTGGGATGATGACCGTAGGCTTCAGGAGCTCCACATTTGAGCCAGGCCTTTTGAGCCCTGCCTCGCTCTTTTGACTTGCAAACGCAAACCCGGGCGCCAGAGACTGGCTAAGCCTGATTCGATTACAGGAATTCGAACTGCTTGCAAACCCAATACTTGAGTCTGCCTTTTTTTGAGGGTACCCCTTTTGGAGCGGTTTTAAAGGGAAGCCAAAATGAAAACTGTATTTTTGGCGGGGTTCTCCCAAAAACAGACTCATTTGCTGTAGATGCAGATTTCCACCCTTCCGAGCACTGGTGGCCCAAAAGGATGGCCACCGAGTAGCAAGAGTTGTTAGGCGGTATAGAGCTTGCATCAGAAAACCAGGCTTTTTCAGCTGTTTGGTTTAGCCACATGTTGACTGGAGCACATGCGACCTGTTTTGCCACGCTCGCCGAACGCGGAGGGGTAAGGCTCTTGCTCAGACTCGCAGGGGTGTGTAAACAAGAAGCGCAGTACAAACCAGGAGAAGCCAAATCCAAGAAGCCGCATGGCGCATGGCAAGCACACGGATCATTTGGAATTCTAAGTCCTTGGAGAGCAGCTACCAAGGCGTCACTTTTTTCCAACTTTCCGACGGGCCAAGTTCGAGGGCCGTGCCATGAAATTGGAGGCACAGGGCCGACACACCTTGTTCAAGGAGACGGGGTGACGGGGGGTTCAAAGCCGTGGCTCGCGGAACCTGAAGCGTTCGGTTTGGAAAACCATCCTCTTGCGCGGCATTTGGTAAGTGAGGCTCCTTGCAAGAGTCTGCGAAGCGGGTTGTTTGGGATCAACAAGCAAGGACCTGCACTCCATCAGCAACAGGCCTGAGAGAGGGAAATTCCGAGGGGACTTGAGTAAATAGTGCATCGTTTGCCCAACCAACGAGATCTCGGGCAACCAGGTCAATCGGAGAATCTCCATGTTTTCCGGGTTTGGGGAGTCACTGAAAGGGAAGCCGAGAACAAGCATTTGAGGAATCGCTACTCCAGACAATTCGTGCGCAAATGCCGGCCGTGTTGGCCCTTGCCGAGAAGGTGCCAAAAGCCTCTGAGTTTGACGCAGGATGCGCTCAAATCAGAGCTTCGCACACGTCTTGGCAAGACCGCCGCCGGCTCAGAGGTCACATGCACAGAGGAACCTCTCTACGGTCCGATCCGATTTCTGAGGTGCAGTCTTTTTTTCCTGTTGGGAAGTTTTCTCACAGATGCACATCCAGTGCGCATCTCCAGTGAACGGCTTGACTGGCTGACCAAAAGCCGCAGTTGTTTTTGGTACGTCGCTCCAATGAAACACCACCGGATCTGTGGCTGATGCTCCATGGTTCTCTCTTTTTTCTGAAAGGGCAAGCCACCCTCATGCTTGGAAAGAGCCGTGAAGTGGAGGGTAGAGTCTTTCTTCTTTCCAAGTCCAGGATCTAGACATGTTGGCAGCATTAGCCTGTCAACACCACTTGTGTGGATTTCTTTGCTGCCTTTTTCGGGTCTTAAACTTCTTGTGGCCAACTGCGTCTCAAGCCTGTACACTATAGAAGCACTACATGACAGCACGCTATCATTTTTCACGCTCAGAAGCAACATCCGTTTGACATGGCCAGGTGCTTCAAAACAGAAAGCACTCAGAGAAACACAGAGGGTGGAACTCTGCAAAACAGTGTTGCCAGCGTATTTTTCCGCGGTTCCTTTTGCATTGGCACGCACCCGCAAGGAGACCTGGAAGATGGATGTGATCCGCATCTGGTTGGTGGGTTGACTGGTTTGGTTTGAGTTTAGCATTGGTTCAGCCAGCTTTGCTAGCAGGTTTTGGGCTAATGTCGATTTCATATTAATCAGCCCCAGTTTTTTTTTGGTAGGGGGGCTGTCCCCCTCAAAAAGTGGTATGATTCCCCCATTTCTCCCAGGGAAAACATCCCTGGCAAATGCTTTGGCAGTAGTCCGTCTTTAACAAATCCAAGAATTTCACCTCTGACAGTTAAATACGAATGCCCCCAACTATCCCTATCGATCATTACCTCAGCTCTAGAAACCAACAAAATAGAACTGGGGTCCTATCTTATTATTCCATGCTAATGTATTCAAGGCGTGCGCGTGCACCCCGCTATTAACAAGCTGGTGGGTTGTTTTGTATGGGGTCAACATCAGCCTCAACTTTGCTAGCAGGTTTAGTTAACTTTTTTGATCAACAATTCGAACGTCTCTATCAAGCATGGGCTAACATCTGTCGCTGGCGCTAGCATTCAGGGACAAGCACCTCCCAATAAACTGGTTGGTTGATGAAAATCTGGGGTCAACATCGTCAGGAGAACCAAGGAGTATGGGCCATGTCTCTGGCGCCGGGTTGTGGGCACCGAGGTCCGCGACCGAGCGGGGGCCTCCTTTGAGGAGCGAGTGGGGGCGGCGCTCAAGGCGAGCCCGGGGGGGGAACGGCGCTTTTTCTTGACTTTGAATAATACATATAATGAATATATATATATATATATACATTATATAATCTACGTACATACATGCAAATATATACTATTATGTATGTATATTTAGAGCATCCACTCAAACATGCGTTGAAAGTCCAAGCTAGAGGTAGTTTGGTCCTTTGCTGCTGCTTGGCTCAATGCTCTCTCAAAGGCCCGCGAGTTGGAGCTGATTGGGTTTTGACGTGCGAGTGTTGTTAAGCGCTCGCCTGTTGACCAACGATTTGCAAACGGAAACAAAACTAAATGAGCGAAATGAGTTCTGGTCTGATTTGAGTTAGGCTCCACACTCATTTTGATGGCTTGGACAAACAACTCTTAATTCAACATTTACTATTTAACCTGAAGAGGGCCGAATTGGAAATGAACCGAGGGGCTCAACGCGGAACGAAGTGGTCTTTAGCTTGGAGAGACCCACTTACTCAGATTTTTTTTGGTTTTTTATGTGGCTTTGGTTCGGACCCTTGACTGACTCTGCGCACGGTGAACTCACAAGTCGCCGCGGTAGGTCACGTCTGCTTTGGGCTTCAGTGAAGCATTGTGCGTCGAACCAGTCGCGCAATCGATTCAGGAGGCGTACAACTTGCAACATGCAGTTGGCTCTTTCTTGGTAGTGCAGCTTCCCGTTCCATGTGGGAACCAAGGCCGCACCCGGTTTTGATGCTGCCAGCCCAGTGTTTCAACCAGAACCTTGAATGCGTCACACTTGGCCACAAAACAATATGTCCAAAACATCCGTCCGATCTCTCACTCGGAAACTAAACGTCTGTCCAAACCATCAGGTCAATCCTTCTTGCACTTCTTTTCACTCCCGGCACTTCTTTTGACTTGCATGGCCTGACTCCCAATCTTTCTTGACTCCAATCAGTGAACATTTGATCTGTCACTTGGAAACTACACATCTGTCCAAAACAAGCAGTCCAAAGCATCCGTCCAAAGCATCCGTCCAAAACATCAGTCCAAAAGATCAGTCCAAAACTTCCGTCCAAACATCAGTCCAAGACTTCCGTCCAGCCTTTCTTGCCGTCGGTTTCTGCGCATCTCCTTCGGCCCCTTGTCGCCCGAGAAAGACCCCGCGAGAAGCGATCGAGGTGATCCACACCAAGAGGCTGGCGGAGGAGACGGAGCAGCGCAAGGCCCTGCAGGCACGTGGGTCAAAACCCTGGATTTACCTGTACCCAAAGGGGCAGGATCGAAGGCAATGAGTTTTTTTTTTTTTTTTTTTTTTTTTTTTTTTTTTTTTTTTTTTTTTTTTTTTTTTTTTTTTTTTTAAATAAATAATATATTAATATTATTATTATTATTATTATTCTTATTATTATTATTTGGGTACTCATTTCTGCACATTCTTGCATTTATTATTATTATTATTATTATTATTATTATTATTATTATTATTATTATTATTATTATTATTATTATTATTATTATTATTATTATTAGGGTAATCATTTCTGCGACCATCATAGGGGCGGCTGCCCCCCCCCCCCCCAACCCCTCTGCTTTTTTTATATTGCAACTCACACCATTTTCACCACCGGTGACATGGCTGTGGGTCAACACCTACTGGTGAACATCGAAATAGGTGGTACATGGGTGTTCATCCACCCCAAAACGGAGGCACAGGTTATGACCCATGGGCATGACAGTCGTTTTGGGCCGATGGCCTTACTGCGAAGGAACGGAACTTCTGACATGGCCGGAGTGGCGCTTTCCGAAAGTTTGGCGGTGTTTTGCTCGCACCTGAGCCACAATCAAAACTGATTTGGGTAGATGATCCGGTTAGTAAGGGGCAGTCCCAGCCGGAAATCCTTGCGGCGATCCGGTTCTTTGAATTCTTGAAGCATGGCTCGCATCGACCATTTGACCATTTTTGTACCCATCGGTTTGAGCTTGTGACTCACCTGGTACCAGGTGCATCAGCTTTGCTACTACCGGTGCAGTTTTTGTCGGTTTGTCTGGCTGGATGGGGATGCCGCCGGGATGCTGATATTTTGTTTTTTGACTCTCACTAAGTTGCGAGGAAAAACGCTGCAGGATGGCGGCTTGCCATTTCTTTCTGTCTTAGAGGACCCTTTTTCAATGCCAAGGACTAGGCAAGCCTTGTGTTGTTGCATGGCTATTTGGGCTATTTGCTTCCCCTTTTTGCCTTCTGATATGCAGCTTCCGCTTTTTGACTTGGGTTGTTCAGTCCGTTCATTTGACCAAGCAGATCTAGCTATTGAGATGGGTCGGGTTACCAGTCTTTCACAGATGTGAGCATCACCTTAACAAGAACGTGGGGCCAGGCAATCACTCCCCAAGATTTGTCTGACGTTGGGCCCATCACAGCAGGGTCGGGATGGCCCAAAACTTCGGCACGCAACTGGTTAGGTTGCCCTTCAAACTCCCCATCATATTTTGCCAGCGGCTGTGCTCAAGTCGCCCCAAAGCTGGTGGAGCAGTTTCGTTAACTTCAACCTCATGGGGATTCCTATTTCAGAATCTACGTAATGGAGAAGGTTAGGTGCCATGCACCAATCACTTTTCCTGTGTCTTGGAGAAACCAAAAGGACAACGCATTGTGGGGTTCGCCGATTTTGAGACAAACCTATGTTGGAAGTTCAGGCAGGGCCACCCTTCTAGAAGCCGAACCGCTGGTTGAACAGAGCTGGCCCCAAGCGCACATGAGGGGCCAGCTCGGTTGACCAGATTTTTGGCCTTCCGCAATACGTGGTTTCTTCCATAGGACTGGTCTGGGTCTGGTATTTTCCATTTCGGCTCTGAGACTTGATAGGGAACCACCTCAAAAAGATTGGTGGACATGAATCCCCACCTAAAGGATGCAAGGGTCCCTTGTTGAAATTCATAGCCATTTTGGGCTCTTGACTTGCTTATGTCAGAGAAGCCTTCGGCTCGCTCCGGGCGGTGGCGCGCTGCTAGGCGGCGGTGGAGAAGGGCCGGAGTCGGCCGACCAGCGCGCCAGTGCGGCCCTCGCGGCTGAGCCCCAACCAGCAGGCCATGCTGCAGGAGCCTTTTCGGCCTGGTGGTGTATGGGGGTGACCGGAAGAAAAAGTGAGCACCTGGAGCAGAATGTTCTTTTTTTTTGCCACTCTTTCGATTGGCCCCAGGCGAATGTGCTTGAAAGGTTAGCCCCGGTGTTGATTTGTTGCTTGACAGACCCGATTCGGAGTAAGGCGCAGCAGATGTCTCAGGGGGAGACACTTGGCATTTGCAGAAGCTTGGGAGTTTAGATTGCCTAGCCGGCTAGCCACTAACAAGCAGCCTGCTGGGGGGTGGTCTCACATTTCACTCGCCACATCACGTTTGACTGGGTGTTGTGTAGCGCCAGACATTGGCACAAAGCGGGAGACATTGGCACAAAAAGCAACTGTCAGTCGATTTGGGGAAGAACCGACAGTATTCGGTGGTAATTCTGTACAATTGCGCTTCGAAGATTATAGGTCTACCGTGGCTTTCTGGGTAGCGGATAGACATGTCCCCTACTTTAAACTGAGCCACTTGCAACGTGTTTGCATGTTTACTGTTTGACAGCAGCCATATAGACGATTTTGTTCTGGCTCCCGTTTTCAGCATGCTGCACACGTGGAGCCTTGTGTTTGGGTGCTGCTACATGATGCCCATACAAAGGGAGTGATACATGAATCCGGGGAAGCCTTGCAGTCATGGCGCGCAGGAGAGGAACAAGAAGATGAAAGAGCAGGATGAAGCTTACAAGAAGCAGGCGGAAGACGGCTTTTATGACGGATGATGATATCGTTCCTTTTGTCGTTGAAGTGTTCAGGAGTGGAGGAAGAGTCCACGCCTTTGTGATCTCGGGCCACACTTTGAAATTTGTCCACGCCTTTGTGTAGCTCCGTTTGTTGTAGCCTTCTTGATGTGGAGCCATAGTTTTTGGAAGGGCAGTTGACAAGAGCCCCTTCGCTCCCAAAGTTGAAACGCTGCCGCAATCCGCTCGAGCCAACGAGAACGCTGATGCAGTGGCTTTAGATCACTGTCGCAACGTGATGCTTGAAGTCAACGGGAAGAGCGACGAGTAGTTTTACATTCATGGTTGCGACTGTCGTGTCCTCAGACTTAAACAAGAGTTGTCGCTGGGCCCCTTTGTGAGCCGGGCCATGTGTTTGCAAAGTGTATAGGCGGCACAGCAAGGCAGAGTTACTAGAATGTACCCAAGCTAGGTGGGTGAGAGCTGCGTCTTCAAGGTGAATATTGCTTAAACATTACAATGGCCATGCGTAAGCCAAGTCACTGATGAGGGTGAATGTTCAAATGTGCACCCAAGTCACTGGCCAAAATCAGCAAGATACAATGGTTTTCTGCCTAGCCCACATCAGTTGGTCCGATGCACATGCGACGCCAAAAGCATAGAGGATTGTGACCTCTTGCAGTTTAGGCTTTGAACCCTTCATTGAAATGGACATGGGGTGATGACCCAGCGTACTCGTTTGGAATGTATGCAGTTTGTTTGTTTTTGTTTTTTTCTTGCGGCGTGATAATTTCGGAGTGTGTGACTTCTCCGTTGTAGGTGAGGGGCGAAGCGTCAGCTTTAGAACCGGGGCCGACCTGTAGGCTTCAGACATGAAGTTCTGTGGACAAAGAATTCAGCTGTTCCTCCCATTTGGGACATGGCAAGCTCGAGCATTGTCCCCTATGTGTGAGGCCGGGGCGGTCCCTATGCCTGCTTCAATGGGGATTCGGGAGGGGGAATGAAACCAGCGGGCGCGTCCTTTCGGACCAGGGGCAACACAGTCCTCCCTTGCTGTTCCCTGGCCTACTTGGCTGCCAGTGAACATCCCAATCCCCACTAAAGTAGGTTCTAAAATGGGTGGTGCACCAACCCCAAAATGGCATCCCATTGGTTTTGACCCACGGCCATCTCCGTCCTTGAGCCCGAGCCCTCGGTTTGAGGTTGCCGAGATGAAGAGGAAGATGAAGGAGCGGGAGCCCCTGTTCAACGTGGCAGAGGTGCAGGCGGGCTTCGAGATGCTGCGCCAGCAGCAGGCAGGGACCGGGAGTGGGAACAGTGGGAGCTGCAAAATCCTGGTGGAACTTGGCTGGTTTTGCATGAAGCATCGCAAGAAACTGTGGGCTTATGCTTGTTTCCATCCAAACGCAGCTCAGCCAACCGAGTCTGAATAAGGAGTCCAGCTTCCACTTGCTTGGTTGAGGGTGGCTTTGGCCCGTACCGAGCGCTGATGCCTTTGCCTACTTGCGACGCAAAGCCGTTCATTTCGCATCCAAGATTCAACTTGCGAACGCAGAGTGCCATAGGTTCCAGCAAGGAGTCATTCGCTCGGCTTCCCTAGCTTTGCTTTGCTTCAAAGCACAGCTGGCAAAAGAGATATTGAAATGGCAAAAGATTCCGTCCTTTACAGAAACCTGGCCACTGGGCCAGCCAACAGACTCATTCAGCCGCCTCAATCTTGCACCGGTCGCAAGGCGGCGCTTGTCCTGTTGGTTTGTTTGGCTCCGGATGGGTTGGATTGACCACAGGTGCTGTACTTGTGGCTTCTCATGACTGTCATCGTTGTCTCAAGGCTTTGCCTTTGGTTTCATGTGTGCTGGAAGCAATTCCTTTGACTTTCTCTTTGGCAAGCAACTTCCTAGACCCAGGGCCTTTTCTAGCTACAACTCACATTCTTGTTCTGCCTCGCACCTTAGGCAAAGCGGGAAACAAACAAAGCCGCGTAGTCTTCCCCCAAACCCGGCCAGTGATGCATATCAACATCAATCTTTTGCGTTTCATAGTAGGTGAGATGCCACAACTGCCGCAAAGAACTGATATGGAAGCCACTTTCTGAGTTGTGTAGGCAACGGACATGATATAATTGCCTGTCTGCGAGTAATGCTGTACGGGATAATACGAGCATGATTGTGACCATTGGAAATGCAGTACTGCCGCTTCGAATGCAAGCCGTCCTTTGCAGTAACAGGAGAGAAACGACCTCCCAGATCTGCACGGCCTTTGTGCCCCATTGCCGGAAACATGACATCTATCGCCGCTTGGATGCGTCAGTGCTGTGCATGTGTTTGCCAAAGCCATGGCTGCCAGTTTTTTCCTTTTGGTTTTCATGGCCCCCCCGCCTTTTTTGAGTGCAATGTGGGAGCAGCGGGACCCGACGGGCGCAGGAGGAGCGTCGCAGGGAGCTGCAGCATGAGGAGCACGAGCGCTGGGAGCATCTGCGTGCTGTGGAGGCCACGTCCGACGGCGATGTGAGTCGGCAAAAGAGAGTCGGAATGGGAGCGTCCGGTGGCGTGGCTCGGCCTTTTTGTTGTTGGAGTTGGCACACTTTTTGGTTGTGGCTTTGAAAGGGAAGCCAAAAGGAAAAACACCATTTTGGGAGTCCACTGAAAACGCGGAAACAATGCTTCCCATTTGGTGACTCGGCATAATTTTTGGCGCCGCTTCTGAGTTCTTCCCTGCCATATATGTTTCAGCGAGTCACAGCGCAGGGCGCGCTGAGGGTCGGAACAAACAGTCCAAGCTTCCATCAATGCAGATGTCAGCATGCGGACGCATGCGGACGCATGCGGACGCATCATTTGCAGGGCAAGTGGATCCAGTTGTCAGCAATTGCTTCATTCCGGGCATGCCTAGACTGAGCCACAGAAATGTCTGACTTCAAGTTGAGAGTCGGCCCATGGGGATTCGCTCCGAGAGATAAGCTTCGCTCCATGGGGATTCCGTTGGAAGGGTGCTGTATATTGAAATTGCAGGAGTTGACAGGAGGGAGTTGCAAGGCAAGCATCTGAAAGCCACCCGTTCACTTCCATGTTCTAGGGTAACAGGATCTCCACATCAACGAACTACTGCAGCTCATCCTATTCTGTCAACAGTGTTCGCTTGCCTTGATAGGCTGCGACTCAACCTTGCTGTGCCTCCTGGTTACAGGGAAACCAGGGGGCCCGCTTTGTGGGAAACCCATGGAACGGAAATTGCTTAAAAAGACCGGAGTGATCCGTATCGCCCCCGTGGGTTGCACCCCTTCAAACTCAACGAGCTCTGTGTGTGTGTGCCCAAAATACGGGGATATTGCATGCAGCAACATCAGGTTGGCTTTGCCAAGACACACTCGATCAGCCCACATTTTCTCGATTGGCAGCTCCTGTCCATCCCGTGCAACAAGATACTGGCTGGATGCATTCTTTTCCTGCGGCAAAAGTTACGGATCGGTTTCGGCGCAGGGGACGGCCTTTCAGCGGCCGCTGCTCATTGAGGACTTCAACTATCGGCCGCCTCGGTGTGCCTTGGGGTGATGGTGCGTGTTTGTTCCAAGAAATGTGAGGCGGTCGGAGCGAGCGGATTCCTTTTCCCTTTTCAGGTTGGTTGGAAGCCACAGGTTGCCAGTTTTTGGTGGAGAGCTTTCTGACGTGTTGTAGGCAACTAATCAAAGCTGTTTTCCGGTCCACGTTGAGGCACGCACCTCTGAGCGTGATGATCGATTCAGTGTACAGTGTGCGCATCACCGTCGGATTTGTCCTTATCCGTTCTTCCCTTTGGCCACATGCGAATCCTAGCCTGGCTACAGGCTTCAAAGCCTGTTTGCCACAGGCAAAAGATCGATATATGTCAGCCGGTCAACAAGGACCCTTTTTGAGACCTTCAAAAGGCATGTGCCTGTGTAAATGGATACGCTTTGGCCAAGCTCTTTCGGGAAGCTTTTGCCGCAGTTCATCCGAACGATGTACGCGAATCCCCAAACCTCCACAGTTGTTCGTGCATCTTTTCTCCGTTGCTTTGTCAGCAAGCATGCGAAGAGTTCTTCAGTCTTCTCAAACGCCACCTGCCGACTTCTCCTGCCAACTCTTCGAGTGTTACTTCACTATCCTAAAAACAAAAGCTCACTTTAATAGAAACATCAGTGTTCTTATTACACTAGCAACAAATTGCCAGGCAACTTGTCGGGCGTTGCGTCGCTGTCCTAAAAACGCAATGCGTCACTGTCCTAAAAACACAAGGTAAAACCTCATTCCACCTGCTCTTCTCGAGTCTTGTTCTTTTCTGCGGTGGTAGGCCCGACGGGAGCCATTGAAATGCACTTCTCTGTGGGAATCGCGGGTCGAAGTGCTCTAGCTGTGACGCCTTGCGAACTTGCAAAGAGGCTCCGGGTCAAAGATCTCAGCTTGTTAAGCACGAAGTAGTAAGCGAAGCAAACTTTGCCAGTTGCGGCTTGAACATCGCAACTTTCAAGCGCGGAAGTAGTACGCGGAGTGCGCTCCTGCAGTTGGAGCGTGGAAAGTGTTGTTGAGCGCGAAAACAGTGCACCAGCTACGCACAATAGCGAACTGTTAGCTGCAAAGTAGCATGCTTTTTGGATGTCGAGCGAAAGCCAAGCGACGGCTCGAACATCTGGACTGTTAAGTGCGAAGGTACGCGAAGTGCGCTGTTCCACCTGCGGCTTGGAAGTCGCAGCTGCCTATGAAGGTAGTAAACGAAATGAGCTTCCTCAGCTGGAGCTTGGAAAGTGTAGCGTTTAGTTTCGAGAACAGCACGCGAAGTACCGCTTCGCAGCTGCAACTCGAATATCGAAGATGGACATTGTTGCAAGAGAAGAAGCGCAGCTCCAAGTCGCAAATCACAACATTTCAGTGTAACAGTAGAATGTGAAGTGCGCGTTTTCTTGAACATGGTACTTTTGGAGTATACAAGTGATACAAGTGATATGAGTGAAGAACAAGTCAAGCGATCTTTAGCTGGAGATGCACCCAGAACTACAGTTGCGTAGTTGTCAGCAAAGGCCCATGTGG